CTTTGGCCACATGAGTCACATTTCTAGACCTCAGTGGCCACGTGGTGAGGGGCTGTCATACTGGCCAGCCTGGGTACATCATTATAGAAAACTCATTAGACTGTTGCCATTCTGCTCGGACCCTGGCTTTCCTTTTCATTTTAGAACTTTTCCAACATCATGTCACACAGTTGTTGGTTTATTTAGGTTCCGTTGGAATGTGTGTGCCCAATAGCAGAGATTTTATTGCCTAGAACAATTCTGAATCCCCAGTGCCTAGAGCAGTGCCTGTTAGAATTCTCTGTAAAAAATTGTTGAGTGAAGGAACAAAACAAATGAATGAATGAATTTTAGTATTTCAAATTGAAATAGTTTGTCTGATGTCCTTGAGTGACCTTGTAATACACCATTCTGCCACAATTTTCAAGATGAAAGAATGAAAATTCTGTAATGAAGGACAGATATTTTTAATATAATGTAATATCTTAAATATACTAGCCAAACTTTTATTTCTTTTATCTTTTATATTATGAAGGATAGTAAGTATGAAAATTCTTCTTAACTGCTAGCATATTTTCCTGAACATGAAAGTAAAAAATATCAATTTCTTTGGATAAAGTCATGAGTAGAATTAGAAAGCAAGGTACTTATTATGCAGCTAATTGGACTTAAACTGATATGTAATTGAAAGCAACTGTGTTCCATTGTAATGGAAGTAATACTGTGCAATTATAGCCACACACACGATGAGAATTCATAATACATTCTGAAATTGTATGGAAGTGTCAATTTAGCTCAATTAATTTCAAATAAAAATCACCCAGGAAATGATTGCACTGCCTAAAAGGAATTTGCCATCCGAACAAAACACAACTTAGAAGCATGACTACATTAGGTTTGCCTAGAAATAGGCAGCAAAGCTAGTTTTGTGATTTCTGCCAAGGACACGGCGTCAATAGTCTTGAAAAAAGGTGGTTTCTCTTCTCTTGGGCTCAGCTTTGTCAGGATATATTTGAAAAAGTGATGGAGGAAGGTGGTACCTGGCAGGGCCGTATGGGTCTGGTACATCGACTCTAATAATTATCCAAATGATAGATGCCAGTTGGCTGTCCTGCCCAAGTCCAGTTACTGACAGTTAGGAATTATGTAAAGTAGAAGTGTTTTTCTCCTTCACCTTCTCTTTCTAAAATACAGGTATTTTCTGAGTAGTGTTAGTTCTCAGTGGATTTGCAAATGCAGATCATGGGGCAGCTATAGCCTGTGCAGGATTGGTGTCATTTTCTATTTGAAGTAAAAAAACATCATATTTGACGTCCTTGGATAACCTCACATACTTCCATTGGTTTTCAAATCAGGTCCAGTGAAGGGCCAAGTTCATCATCAAAATAATGACTAACTTTGGAAACCCCTATGTTCAGTTAAGGTTGCTGAACTGCTATAAATATGTACTAAAGAGTCATCAAAGTGTTTATGTTTGCAATTTCAATTCTTGATTTCTTTGGGAAAACCTATTCTATTTATATATCTCACATTTTTTTTATTCCTGGAGTGCTGGATCCAGAGTAAATTTTTAACACTTTACCACAAGGGTGGAAAGATAAATTTACTTGCTCTTGAGATCTTGGGGGTTGTTTTAGCCTTGCCTGTGTGCTGAGATTGATGTGAGAGCCATCGAGGGCCTCAGTGTATTGAGTTTACTCAGGCGGAGTGAAGAGAACGGCCCTGTGGAAGTTTTCTGTTAGCACTGAAGTGGAAAAGTAGTTTTGGAAAAGAAGCTAGCCGAGGTGCTGGACCCACCGTTAATGCTCGTTTTACATTTTACCAATAATCTATGTAACCAATCAAGGTTCCGGTGCCAGGGTGAGAGCCTGCTGATGGCTTCACCATGTCACCGGGGGGCGAAGTGCTCCCAAAGGCTTTTTAATGGGTGATGAACTCAATTGACCCCACAGATTTTGGCCATTCCTGCTGGAAAAGCAAAGTACACATTACCTCTGAAGATAGTTTTTCATCTATTCGTAAGGCTGTTTGCTCATTACTGCAGGTAGAAGTGGGGCTCCTCAAAGCATTTTTTCTGTCCAGAGGACTGAACAAGCCAAACATGAGAAGTATTTTTTTACAGATGAACATCAATACTGAATATTTCTTTCTCAGCTGATGCTTAGGAACCATCTTCTGATTTTGATCCATGTAGAGATGCTACGAAAGATAGTTTTTTGAGACTTAGGTTTGCAGATTATCATTTAAAAAATTTTCTGTTTCTATGAGTGTAATTTGGAAAATACTAAGCATATTGTCTTTAAAATGATTCAATTGTCCTGCCTCCTAATTTTTACAATGTCCCTTATCATGGTTAAGACATACCTTTTCTGCCTTCAGATTTGTATCAAATGTGAAACTCAGTTAATTCCAGCCTATGTCTTCATGGATTATACATAGTCCAGAAGCATTATTTTTTGACATTTTAAATTTCAAAATGTAATAATATCACAAGTGACATCATAAAGCTGTAGTATTTCTAAGTGAAGATAGTATCCCTTTGGCGTTCAAGGACATATGTTCTTTCTAATTTTGTGTTCCAGTTCTTTATCAGCTAGGGCAGAGACTACACTTACTTATTTAAGTTCTTATTTAAGATAACTCTAGACATACTACACTGAATTTCATGTGCCCTTTATACAGCTTCCTCAAATGTGGACATCGTCTATCACCATCATACAATCATGGAAACTAGAAATTGACGGTGATATAATATTACTAACCAATATAAAGAATTTATTCCACGTTTGCCAGTTGGCCTACTCGTGTCTTTTCAAGATCAGGGTCCTATCCGGGATCCCAGTACTGCATTAAACTGTCATGTTTCTCCGTCTCATCTAGGCTGGTGGTGTCTTCCTCTGTTTTCCTGACCTTAATAGTTTTGTAGAGTCCTGGCCAATGATTCTGTAGACTGTCCTCACTTAGGATTTATTTGATGTTTGCTCATGATAAGAATTGGCTTATGCATTTTTGACAAGAATTCCACAAAGCGGCACTGTGCCCTCTCAAGGGCATTCTGTCAGAGGGCACACGGAGCCGCTGTGCCTCATCGCTGATCTGACTTTGGTGACTGCACCAAGGTCTGCTAGTTTCTTCACTGCACAGTTGCTATTTTTCCTGTTGGGACTAATGAAATCCTGAGAGGAGATGCCCTATAGCTACAGATATCCTCTCATCGTACTTTTCAGCTATTTTATGTTCCATTGGTAATTCTCACCTTCAACAGTTATTACTTGGCATTTGCCAAATGGTGATATATTTTATTTCCATCATTTCTCCTACACTTATTAATTGGAATTCTACTGAAAGGAAGAACTATTTCTTTTTCCCTCATTTATTCAGTTATTATATCAATGTTGGAGTCATGAATATTTATTTTATTCCATGGATTATAATTCATTACTATATTTTATTGTCCAAATTATCCCCTTCAAGTAGGTTCTTGTGTCCTTTGGCGATCTCTATCATTTTTTTGAAGCATTTTATTACTTACTCTCTGGATCAGTCATTTCTCCAGAGCCTAGTTCTTTTAATTGGACATTGGTATTTAGAAACAAAATTTAGGTGCAGCATATACTCATTGCTACTGAGATGTCATGGTTCTAATCCCTGTCAGCTGACAGGAAGTATGTGTAGGTATATATACAAACATAAATACCTCTCTCCATCTGTCTGTCTACCTACCTACTTAACCTACCTATCTTTATCTAACACAAATATGTCTCTCCATCTAACTACCTACTTACTTATCTATATTTATCTAACATAAATACCTCTCTCTATCTACCCATCTGTATTTATCTTCCTATTAAAGACTATTAGTTCATCCTAATACTTCGAATTATAACCCATTACCACTCGTTTTCTTCTAGTTGTCTCCCTTCTTTATTTGTGGCTCCTTTCTCTAGGAGTGAGAAGCCTGACTTTCATTATCCATAATGTGCTTACTTATTTGCTCTCTGGTATACATGTAAAGAAGTCTCAGAACTGCGGCCCCACGATCTCTGTGAGAAACAAATTCACCCACTGTAGCGTTAGGCGCAGTTCTTTTTATCTCGAGCTTTACAATACATAGCAAAAATACTGGTTTCCAGAATTACTCAGGTTCCATCATTTCCTCTCCACCCTCTCAGTGGGGTGATGTTGTTCGTGCAGCCCTGTTAGGTTCATATATTACTTACTGTTTATTTTCCATTTGGGTTCCTCCGACACACAGAGGTTGATTTTAATTATCATTTATTTGGGAAGGGTGTGAAACATTACCATAGTTCTAAGAGTCAGAATCATACGAAAAGGTACAGTCAGGAAAATGTCACCCCGCCATCCTTTGTGTCACACTTCATCCCATTCCTACTCACCCCTAGTAGCTTACCAATTTCATTAGTCTCTGGCTTATTCCCCCATATGTCCTTTTTGCACAAATAAGTAGATACATGTTTTCTTATATAGTAACTGCATTTCAGTGTCTTCTTGTGGTACCGGGCAATTTGAATACTGTTTGGTGATTTTATCTCTGAAGGGTACTGTTCCTAATTGGCACGTTCTTACCACAAGTATATTAGAAAGCTAATGAAACCACTATTTTCTTTCTTGAAAAATATATTTGGGATCTGTGTCTAGAATGAAAATGCACACGTGAATTTTGACAAGCTCATTAGCCCTGAACCATGTATTCCTTAATAGGATTTGCCTAAGAAAACTGTGACATAAAACAAGTAGCCATGTTTTTCAAGTTTTCTTTAACCCGTCATATATGTTTTTAGCGAGATAATTTAAATTTTTTCCCCTTTCTAAGTGCATTTGCATTATTTTCAGTTATCAGTGAGAGATGGAATGCTGAACACAAACTAGGTATTTTTTGCTTCGGAGGCCTTGCAGAATAGCTTTCGTTCCCCAGAAGCAAAGCAGAGCATTTGCCCAAGGCCCTTGCGTGGCGCTGCCGTGCGTGTCATCGTGCCCTCTCTCTTCTCCCTGCCCCGCAGGCGTTCGGGCAGTCCTTCTCCATCCACCGCAAAGTGGCCGAGGACGGGGAGACCCGGGAGGAAACGCTTCTGCAGGAGTCGGCGTCCAAGGAGGCCTACTACCTGGGGAAGATCCTGGAGATGCAGAACGAGCTCAAACAGAGCCGCGCCGTGGTCACCAACGTGCAGGCAGAAAACGAGAGGCTCACGGCCATCGTGCAGGACCTGAAGGAGGTAAACAGGCGGCACGCACGTTCCCTGGGAGGGGTTTGTCGGGAAGAGGGAAGCGAGAAAATTCTTTCCCGGAGAGGGGATATAAACCTTTTTCTTTAATCGGAGGAGCTGTATTAAACATGTAACACGGATGCTAGCAATTTCTCTGCTTTGTTCATGAAGTGACAGCTTTTTCCGGGATGAGCTTTTCTTTCTTTTGTTATTTGGTAAGAATTCCATTCTTTATTGAGTACTTGGGAATAGGCCTTGGTATTTCTGCAAAGGTGTTTAAAAAATATAGGGACCTCCACACTTCCCCCCCTTCACCCGTTTTCATGCAGCGTGGAGAAGAACGGTTGGCTGTGATGCTTTGTGTCAGCAGTGATTCGAAGTGACAGTAATGTGAGCCCAGGACCTGTTCTCACTGGGGAATGAGACCCCCAGGCCTGTCTGAGGGGCCCGAGGGTCTGGCAGTGCAGAACCATAAACTATGTTTTTGGTTGTACATAAAGAAACAGACCCCAGCTGGTATGAATTTGGCCAAGAGGCCTACAGGGCCAGTAATAGACAGGGGGGAAAATATCCTTCTGTGGCCTTGACCAGCATCATTTTGATGAGAGAACAGGTAAGATTATGATAGTGCCGAAGCAGATATTTAGTAAACAAGTGTGAATTTCATTTTTCTCTCTCCAACCTGTAAAGTGTAACATATTAGAAGATGGCCTAAATAGCTTTACTTGGACAATATTTATCGAACATTTACTTTATAGTACATTAAACTAAAATCCCATTGGTGAAATCATAAAATAAAGTAATGAAACTTTTCATACTATTGCATACTCTCAAATGTTAGTAAGATATCAGAATTTACTGCAATATTTACAAAGCATACATGCAATTATACTGGTATCCCTAACCAGAATTTGGTATATATATATGTAAAAAAGAGATGTCCCAGAAAATAGACCCCTTCAGGTGGGATGCAGAAGAGTGGAGTTGTAAAATGAATTATTGACCATGGTAGAGATTAAGCCTGTGCTTTAAAGAGCAAATAACTTACCTTTTATTGACTGGCAGACAGTGTGCCAGGCACTATTCTAAATTCTTTACATGGAGCAAGTTGCTGAATCCTTGTAACAACCCTGTTGAGGTAGGTCCTCTTATTATATCATCTCATTTTACTAACGGGGCACGTGAATCGCAGAGAGGTCAATAACTGGTCCGGAGCACCTGCGAATAGGTGGCAAGTCAGGATCTGAACTCAGGAAAGCTGGCTCCCATCTAGATGCTTGAGCCGTGTCGCTGTAGCCACCAAGAGCCTGTTTCCCTCTTTTGAATCTTGCCTCAAACTAAAGAAATTTCTGGCAAAATATATGAAGCTTGAGTACAGTCTCTAAATTTGTAGCTTGTTGGAATAGTGTTGTTATCATTTCCTTTGGATATGACCATTTTATATTTTAAAAGCTGCTTAGTCAATAAGATTTTTATTACATTTGAAGCTCTACTTTTTTCCCTCATTGGAATAAAAAAGCAAATTTCATAATACACTAGTGGCTCCATTTCCAGAAATCTCTTATGGCAGCACTTTAGGAATACATCGGTTCACCCTTAAGGAATCCATGTCTACAGACTTTTAGGGTCGGGGGGGCACCTGTGTGATTACTCGGTAAAGACCACTCCCGGGTCACTGCTGCTTTCTCCAGGATCCCTCGATGGGCATGTATCCTTTACTCGGGCATTTCCAGCATGTGGAGAGAGAGCCGCGAGCCCTTTCAAGAAAGGGACTGTGTTCTGTCTGTCATTTATCTCGGAATCCCCACAACCAGCCCAGAGCCCAGCCAAAAGCAGACACTGAAAAATGTTCGTTGAGTTGAACTGAAAGGGCATGCTTTGGGAGTCAGCTACTCCTGGGCTTGAATTCCATCTGTGCCACTTACCAACTATGTGATGTTGACAAATTTCTTTTGTTCTCCAAGCTTTACTTCTTTAATTCCCACATGGAGAGATTATACTAACATACAGGTCCTGTGTCAAATGCCTCGTTCAATGGAGTTGCTAAATTGTGCAGTTATTGCTCATTCTGTCTTCCAGCTCCTACCCGGGGCTGCCTGTCCTGGTACTTGGTGGCTTTGATTGTTAACACAGCTCTTTTTTTGTTCAATGAAAAGTTGACTCCCTGTAATTTTCACCAGTTGGCCACATTTCTAGCCTCTGGGTCTACAGAGAATAATTTTTTTCCCAATTCCACCTGACATTTTTACCCAAGCCCACCCAACAGCTTCAAATATTTGGAAAGAATATCTTGTCTTCTCTTTCTTCAGACTAAGCATATCCAGGTTGATTAGCACTTCCTCATGTGACATGGCTTCAGGATCCTGTACCTTCTTAGACCTACATCCAGTGTCCTTTAAAAATGTGTGTCTGCTTATAAGAAACATGATTGACTGTCTTTACTCCTGTTGTAAATCCTTGAAATCTTGAACTATTGGAGCTAGATTTTGAGTTTCTCAGCTTAGGGTTTTAATCTTTCCGGATTTCTAACTTTGCAGTCCTACCTTCAACAAAGGTCTCTTAAGTGCTTGTTATTGGCCAGATGCTTGGGAAACATCTGTGAACAAAAAATTCAACCAAAAGTGATTGTTTCCAATGTTAGAACAACTAAGTGTGTCTAGAAACTATTTCCTCGTACTCTTTAGCATCTGTGGAAATAGGCAGTAAGCTGTTTCTTAGACATCAAGTACTATAGAGACGGAATGTTTGTGTCCCTCTGACATTCATGTTGCAAACTCATCTCCAATGTGACCATATTTGGAGATGGGGCTTTCAGAAAGTGATTAGGTCATGAGGGTGGAGCCCTTAGGAATGAGATTAGTGCCTTTATAAAAGAGACATCTTTGCCCCTCTTAACACACGAGGACACGCCAAAAAGATGGCCATTTATGAACCAGAAACAGGCCCTCACCAGACCCTGAATCTGCCAGTGCCTTGATCTTGGTCTTCCCAGCCTCCAGAGCTGTGAGAAGTAAATGTTGTTCAAGCCACTCAGTCTATGGTATTTTGTTGCAGAAGCCCAAATGGACTAAAACAACATAAAACATTTGTACAGCAATATTACAGTCCTCTTAATCTCTCATTAAAACTACAAATAGGTGGGACCTGCTGTGACTAAGTGAAAAACATAATTAAAAGGGCCAGATTAGATGCCATGGACTTCAGACGTCAGCACATAACTCATTTTATTCAAAGGACAGCCTTTCAACCATTTTTAAGAGTCAATTTGCTTCAATTTTATAAGTAGGTAGTTTGACAATGGTGTGAAATTAGAAAGCAGGAAATTCGAGTTCAGGTCCTAACTTGACCATCTGACCAGTTAGTTGTGTGATTACATTTCTCATTTCCCATGTAAACATTATGCTAACACCTACCCTACTCCCCATGATTTTCATGAGATAAAATCAACTATTTTCATGAGAGTGCTGTATAAGGAATAGAGGACTATGTAAGTACTGCTTATGTCTCAAGATTTCGTAATCAGACTTAGTCACACATACAGGAGAGACACAGTAAGTTAAAAAGATGTATTGGAGTAGAGGGAGAGACAGTAGCAAGAAGTAGTGGCTGGCATCCTGACACCAGGAGGAAACAACACATAATTAAAAGCCAGTTGATTGCAAGAGAACTATCTGGGCGCTCTTACTATAGTGTGAACAGCCTTCCATACCAGGCTGCTTGTCGGAAGGGTCACTGCAGATTGATTGCTCAGTACAACATCGAATGTGTTTACTGATGATCCGAGTCTTAGGGAAAAGATTAAATTATTAAATTAACTCAGCCAATAAATAACAGAGTTTTCCTTATGACCTGTGATGTGTCTGGCAGGATAATTGGTCAGTGGGAGCTGTGTTTACATAGAGCTTCCCACTGAGTGATGATTTTACCATCCTGTGCAGGCGTGGCTGGGAAGCTGTTTCCCTGGCATATTCCCGTTTCTCTCCAGCTCTGCATTCTTGCTGGGAATGACCCTCACACCTCTCTGGACTGATGCAAAGCACAAAACAGTGAAACATTATCACTCATTTTAACTGGTTTAAATAACTAATAATACTATCACAGGCTAACATTTATGAGAGCCAAGCGTGGTATGTTCATTATCCTAATTCTCTCAAGAAGTTACAAGGCAGGTGCTGTTTCTGTCCCTCCTTTAAGCAGGTGAGGCAAAGGGAAGCCAAACAACTTGTCCAGTCAGTAGCCAACCTGGTGCCTTAAACCAGGCAGTCTGGCACTGCAGTGTCAGCTCTTAACCGTGCTAGTGCCTGCTCACTGGTTTATTGACTCCACCGTAAAGAGCTGTATTTCCTTGGTTGAGCAGTTCTTTCCAACACTTGCTGAGCTACAGTTAAAATTCGCCTGTTATCATCAGGAGTTTGAAAGCAAAGCTTAACAATATATAGACAATTCACCTCTGGATACTTGTGATTTGGTTGTGCCTTGGGGAAAAGAAGTTACATAAATGGGTTTCTTTGTAGGATTAGGTAAAAATTATAGGCTTGTAGAATTTCTTTTTTTTGGTGTAGTTCCATACATTTTAACACATACATAGGTTCATGTAATCACAACTGCAGCCAAGATGCAGAGCTCTTTCCTCAGCTCCAGACCTCCCCTGTGCTGTCCTATGTCTTTATAGCCACATCTTCCCCCACCCCAAGCTCCAAAGGCCAGTTATCTGGCTCCATCACTATAATTTTGCCTTTTGGGGAATGCTGTGTTAATGGGATCATGTAGTATGTGTAACCTTTTGAAACTGGGTCTTTTCTCTCATCATAATGCCTATGAGATTCATCTAAGTGGTGCATATATCAGTAATTTGTTCTTCTTTATTGCTGAGTAGTATTCCCCTTTGTGGATGTACTACAGTTTTGTTTTTTTTTTAAATCAGTTCGCCTACTTGAGAAGGTGTGGGTTGTTTTCAGATTTGGGCATTACAAATAGAGCTGCTGTATGCATTCATGCATGATTATATT